TCCGCTCATAATCCAAGATCAGAAAAACACATCGAACCGAACCCCTGTGTCCTTCCAGCACGTCGCCAACGGCATCGCCCGTCTCTGCGTTCCAGATTTGAACCGTCCCGTCAAGCCCTCCAGAGGCGATACGACTGCCGTCCCGAGACCACGCGACAGAGCAAACCCGGTTCCTTTGTCCCTCCAGCGCGTCGAGAGTGTGCGGCGGATGTGGGTTGAAGGTGGTTTCTGGGTTGTTTTTGGATACAGTATGCGGATGTGTGAGAGGGGCTGGTATACTCTGTAGTGGGTTTGGAGGATGGTTTCGTTTCGTTTCGGTGGGTGTTTGTGTTGTCGAAGGCAGGTTGATGATGAGCAAAATAATCCTCCCATGAATCTCAACATTTACCAAAGCAACATCTCTCGCAACCTGTGCGCGACGGCAAAAAATGTTGCAGGCCGGCAGCCGGGGCGCCGTCGCGGGCGACGGCGGAGGAGACGTAGAGCAACGGCAGGACTTTAATTCCTCCGTTCTGAAGCCCGACATGTTGCTCTGTATCCTCATCGTGTGTGTAGCGTTCCTGCTGGGAAAGCACTGGGTTCTATGGACTGCTGTCAGTGGAGCAAGACTGTACAGTCACCCTGGAAACGTAAATGGAAACAAGTGGGACATGGATGAAAGGGTCGAGGAGCGCAATGTTCCCTCATCAAGTGGAGGACAAGTACCAAGGGATGTCGCAGTCCATGCTACATCACCTCTTGCCGTTGACACCAAGCCTCGCGATCCTTACGGTGGAAGAAATCGATCTATATCGTCGACCGTTTTGTCAACATTAGCTTCACCTGTGTGCGACGGAAAAAAATGTTGCAGGCCCGCAGCCGGGGCGCCGCCTCGGGCGACGGCGGAGGAGACGTAGAGCAACGGTAGCGGTCTCTTCGGCTGCTGCGGGTGGTCAGTCGGGACGGCGTACAGGCCGAGGCCGAGCGGGCTAGGCGAGATGGCTGCGATGTGGTAGGTTGCGCAGACGACGTCGCGGAACGACTGGATATGGGCGCTGAGGACGACGTCGCGCGGCTCCTGCTGGTTCCCCGACATCGCGGACGAGGAAGAGCAGTGGACGTGGGCGGACGGGCGGGCGCATGCGTTACGAGGGGCGCACGGTCAAGACTGGAGGCGACGGCAAGAATGGAGACGGGGATTATGCGGCCATCGAGAAGGATGCGGCGAAGAGTGTGTCTGGTGCCGCAGGGATCCGGGCTGTGGCGAAAGCAGCAGGTGGGGATGGTCGGATGGCGAAAGAAGCAGATGGGGATGGTCGGATGGCGAAAGAGGCAGGTGGGGATGGTCGGATGGCGAAAGAGGCAGGTGAAGATGGTCGGAACAGTTGCTTTTGGAGACAACGGCGGCGGCTGGGAAGGCGGCGAATGGTTCATAGGTCTGTTCGCGAGTGTGTGCTCGAGTTGGGGAGTTTACTGGGCCAAACATTACATTAATGATGTAAGCATGTGGGACCAATCGTTTTAATTGGTCGAGATGTAGATGTGGGACGAAACGATTTGATTGGTCTGTAGATGTGGGACCAGTCATTCACAGCCATCCACTATCATACATGATCTACCACTTGTAGAATGTGACTGACCCTTAGAATTGCCACTTGGCATTAGACGCTACGCAAATTAGCGTAGAAACTTGTGGGCACCACGTATGTACACGTGGCGTACACGTATCATATACGTGTCATACGACTGTCATACACGTGTGGCCACGTGTGGTACACGTGTGGCCCCGTATGGTACACGTTGTCTACCTTCCCAAGTGTGCGCGCACAGTACACGTGTGTCGCGCTTATCAGACACGTGTCAAAGGCGGAGAACGCGGCCCCGCGACGGCGGTGACCAAGGATAAAGGGCGCAGGGTCACCGCACTACAGATTCAAACGCGAACTGTATCGCCGCGTGGTTCAACAGTCTCCTCACTGCTCGGTTGTCAATTCTTGACGCCCTCTCGAGCCTTCTACTATGCCGGACAAGTTGCAATAGGATTTTGGTTGTGCAATTAAAGCACTGTGTTATTCTGTTCTTTTGTTCGTTGTTGGTTTTCTGTTGATATCTATCCGCAAACGTATCTACTTATATCGTTAATGCAGAGCTACTTCATTCCTAAAGCTCCAGCTAGGTGCCTCTCGATAAAGCAAAAACGATGGCCGCTGACATGATACTGTATTTGGCGCATATGCCATGTATGCGATATCAACCCTGAATTTCATATTCCCATTTCGAGAATCGCAAGCCTGATTTATCATGTCCATTTCCTTCGTTGGTTCCATGCGTGCAGATTAACAGTATTTTCGCGTGTGATGATCAACATGTGACAAGAAATTTCAGATTGTGAGATTTTACGAAATGATGAGACAGAACGGTCAGGAGGAATTTTTCGGATATACCCAAGGGTAGTCCTATATGTAAGGTCTTGCACAGGGACAACCTCCAAAACAGTTTTCCTGGGATAGTTATCCATTGGTCCGCATGACCACATGTAAACGTGGGAAATCTACCCACCAAAGGCGACTGTACTGTACGTCCGAATAGAGGCTGCCTGTTGCCTTGTGTGAGAGGACGGGGGGTCAAAAGACGGAGGAGGCAGAAAAATAGAAAACAAAAAAGCGGACCATTCGGTTATCCTTGTCTTGCATTTTATTTTATTCCTCCCCTACGCACGCAGCGCGGTACACCGACTTACAACTACAGCAAAGGCCATTTGAAATTTGAGTGCATAACAAAAACAGTTCTGCATATGTTCGATACGCATGTATGTATCTTGGTATGGATTTAGCTGGTTGTGTTATTATTATTGCAGTACGCATGAGTCCTGAGTACGTTGCAAAGATTACTATCACCTCCACTACCGCCAACGTTTTCTCCTCCTCGTTCTCTTTCTCTACAACCCTCGGCACGGGTGACAGAATAGCCGCGCTGACGTGAAGACGTCAGTCCTCCTTCCATGACTTGGCGGGTAGTTTCTAGCGATGCTAATACTCCTAGAGTTGCTCATGTTCACCTTGCCGTACGTGCTCTTCTCTACAAGTGACCAACCCACAGAGCTGTAATTTTTTCTTCCACAATTTTAGTCAAATCTGTTTCAGAAATCCTTGGCGTAAAACTTAAATTGCAAGAACCGGGAGCCGCTCTTCGTTTAAAGACTGCTGTGTATAGTGATAGTTGTTCTAGCGAAATGCCTACGAAATCGCTATGGAAGCTATATTTTGCAGTCACAAACACGTCTCCAGAGCCATTTATTCCTAAAGCACTCCGTGATTGCTTGCCGTAGTTGCAATTCAAGATGATATCCATACATCCCCAATCTGAGCTCTCTCGGGACATTTTGAACAGGTGTAACCATGTTTTGAGGCCATTTTCGCGAGAGAAACAAGTGCTCAGAAGTACTCACAGAAAGACAGTTATAGGTGGCTACCAACTTGTTCAGGGAGTACACCTCAACCTAGAGTATAATACGAAAACATTGGTTTTCTTTGCGAGCCGTTCTTCAACTCGTGACAATTTCTCGTCTCACAATCCTAGCATTCATTGCCATTGGACTAGGGCTATTGACGAGTTTCTAGTGTCTATTGGACAATGCGCCTCATTTGAGGATTTCGCCTCATATGAGGCTTTTTTGCCGCGCCGTTTCTGGCGCAAAGAGGGAGAACTAAAAGCTATAGTTACCGCGAAACAGTAACAGTAAGAGTAAAAAACAATGCCCAAGTCCCTTGAAGGCACCTAGAATGCACGGTATTTAGGAGGGTCTTTCTAATGCTCTGACAGACAGGAAAAATCCTCATGATCAAAAACGTCCGTCCAATAGACACTAGATATCCAGATCTGCGCCCCACTGCTGCTCCGAGACCTGGTGGACGCATGATATGTGATTGCGGTAAGTTGTAAGTGTAGCATGAATTCGTGGCTGTGCAGAATAAGACGGGAGTCGCAGCTTTTGAAAATATGTTGCCTCGTATTACTTAATCTTGCTTCGATGGAAAATTCCGAGATAAAGATATTTTTGTTTTTACTGCCATTTGACATCTCATCACCACAGTGGCGTCAACAAGGAAACAACCACTGTGTGCACGATCTGATGACATCAAGGCATCTATTTGCGCCATCTATCTGCTCTATCGAGCTGCAATGAACCTTCTCATCGCTTGGACAGCTGTCCTGCTCGTTGCTTCACTCATACGGAAAGTGAAGCCCACGCGCTCTCCTAAACCCACGCATGCAATTTTTACGGAACCCTTCTGGAGTGCTCTCGACATGTATCTAACCCGCATGCTTCCATTCCACCCCCCCTCCGGAAAGTCTGAAGAGAAAATAATGCATATATCTTCAGTGTCATACTGACGGCCCCTCCTGCTGCATGACTACAACAAACAACGTCAATTTTCAGCCTTCCAGTGCGGGACGGCGTTCTTTCTATTCTGCCGCAACCAGTGTCGTGTCTCTCATGTTTGTACCGTCTTTCATGTTTGTCTTGTACTCTTCGCCGCATTTATTATGGAGAATCTTTCCTTGTCTCTGTTGTTCAGGTTTCTCCACATCTAATATAATCCCTCGTTAAAATTCATCTTTCTCGAATCCGTCAAAGTGCCAAAAAAAACTGCGATCTGCCATTGACATGTAGGATTCGTGACGAGGCATCGAAGTAGAAGTCAAATGCACATGTCCATCTCTGGCACAGCTTTGTTGCTACTCCGTGGTCATGGGCATGAACCGAACGGTGAATAGTGCACCAAGAGTTCAAGTCTCTGAAGTTTTGCTTTCCATACGAATCATTTTTGTCTCAAGGGCATGGCCAACGCCCGATATTCGGGGAGGGCAAGGTCTTCGCGATCAAAAAGCCTATCCATGGAGTAAATCGCGGACACGTTCATGAGTATAAAGAGAGCGCTCAACGCAAGGGGAAGCAAGTGTCATCTCCACAACCTCAACAGCCTTCATTTCGGTGCGGCAGTCTTCACATACCAACAATGAACGCTTCATTCCTGTTCGTCCTTCTCCTGGCCGCTATCGCCTTCACAGCGAACGCGCAATGCGGCCGCTCATGCCGGTTCCGCTTCTGCCGCGCTGATGGCTCCATGCGTCCCAAGGGTGCGAAGATCCTTCTCCGCGGGCCAGACTACTCCCGCTCAGCATTCATCTGCCGTAACTTCCCCGGCGGGAGAACGCTCGGCAACGTTCGCACCACTGGCGCGGCGCTCATTGAATCAGGCTCAGGCACCACGCCGATCAACAGGTACCGGCCCAATGGACTGAGACCCGCGTTCCCGAGAAACTACTTCCGTCTGACGCCTCTGACATTCCAGCGCGACCGCAAGGGCGTCGCTCGTCGTGGCGCCATGGGTAACCAGGAGGAGTTCCTCGACGACCTCTGCATCCGTCTTCCGATCCGCAACTACAACATTCAGAACACGGATGGGTCTGTGTTCCGGACGATCTCGACGTCGGACGCCAGGGACTGCCTTTCATTCCGGACGGTTGTGCGGCCGATCGTGGTGGACGTGGCGTGGGATTCGTCCGATGACTTCGACCTTTCCGTTATTGGTCCCCCTGGATCTGTAGGAGGCCGTATCAATGACAACTTGGTGGCCGCGTGCGGCGACTCTCCGGCCGGCAAGGAAGCTGTGTCCTTCGAAAACATGGTTCGAGGGAAGTACACGGTCACGCTGTTCCACTTCAACAACTGCTTCAATAAGCGTACGAAGTGGGTGGTGAACGTTGTGGTCAACGGGGTAAGGATTCAACGCAGGTTGGGGCGGTCGAATTCGGACGGCAGGAGGGTTCTCGAGCTCGAGTTCACCGTCTAAGAGGAATGAGTGGAAGGTCCCAAGTAGCGTTCCCTTACATCGTCATGGTCGTGGAATAGTGTTTGCAACCTGTAGTGACGATGAGTAGAGATGGGCGGAGTTGCGCCGTACTTGGTATCAGTAAACGACACCTTTCATCTCTGTTCGAAAACGCTGCTGGCAGCTTGTTTCTTGGTCGTATCTAGTTTGAAAAATACCAAACGCCCTCGTGGACGGGGTGACACTCTGGGATTCCTGCCTGATTTGTGCAAAGATCACAAGCCAACCTGCTTTTATAAACGTCTACCCTTGAATGGTCGACTTTATGGAGAAAGTACAGGGGCGGCCCTATGCAAGAGCATTAGGGCCAACCTAGGGTATGTAAAGCAATTGGTGTAAGCCGTATCCTACGTCTGTTACTGTAACGGATAAAGCCTTCGAAGGGTATTCCACGCGTCGATATCTTGACGGAGCAGAAACGGTCGCGGATATCTCGCAAGCAGAGGCGTACAGTATCCCCACCTGCTGTAAAGCTTTACAGGCACTTTAAAAAAAGGGCAAAGTCCTTGTGATAATACCTATACACGTACACATGTAGTACACATCACACACGGATATCGTGTCACCTACGGCGGCAAGCGGCCGCCGTACTAAGAGCACCCCTAGTGGTTGAGTAAATGAGTAAATTTTTGATTTTCGGAGATAGATTTGGTCACGAGCAGTGGAGTGAGTATCTCTAAAAAATTTACCATTTTGAGTAAATCTATCTCCAAGCAGCCGACCGGATGGAGACAGATTTACTCATTTGCGCAAATAGAGATGCGAGTAGAATTGCGCCACTTGGAAAAATTACTCAAAACCCACGCCAATTCTATTGACTTGGCGCGAGCAATGTTCTCTGTGCACAGGGAACACACTGTTTTCTGTGCACAGCGAACACCCCCAACACCCCCATCCCAAGCTGAATTTACCCGCCACTGCCACCCTCCTGCATTCTTCCTGACGCCTTCCCTTCTCCCTTTCCTCCTCCTCTCCTCCTCCTCTCCTCCCTGTCCTTCCCCCAGGGCATGATGGTGTCATGTGGGGCTTGAGGAGATGGGAACCGGAGACGTCTCCCACAGTATATCCGTACAGCACCACCACTACCATCCCTCGAACTGGATGACCACGGCTGCCGAAAGAGCCAATCACTGCACAACACGTTTGAATTTGCCCTCTAACCGGTAGTGTTGCGCCTAGAATCGCTATCTCCAAACGCTGAATTTCTCATATCTAACCTCGAAATATAACTAAACCAGCAGGGGTGCTCTAAGAGCACCCCTATCGGTTTGGCTAAATTTGGTGGCCAAATGTGTACAATTTTGCGTTTGCATATAGCATTTCTGTATGCAACATTATCGGTTTAGGAGTAAATTTGAAATTGAAGTGCCCTGCTAGGCATAGTGTACGAGGGGGCATCGAGTACGAGAGGTACTGTATTGACACTGTCCTATGGTCTTTTGGCCAAGTGGCGCCATGTAATTCGCGTCTCTATATGGTCAAATGAATAAATTTGTCGCCATCCGGCTTCCAATAAAGAGATAGATATAGCCAAAAATGCCAAATGTTTGGAGATAACCAGTCCGATAGGGATGAAAGAGGCTATATGTATCTGGATATGCAAAAACTTTACATATACACAGCACCGATAGGGGTGCTCTAAGTGCAGAGGGAGCCGGGTCAGAGAGTAAACGAAGGGTATCGTTCGTGCACCACAGTTCTGAATAGTGGACATATTACGGCTCAATGACAACTGCGTTGACATCCAGAAATGGAATCGTAGGCTTACACGTACAGCACGTCGAACACTTGGTCCCACTTCGCGGGACGGACCGGAGACCTAGGTCAATGGTTGGCCAGCGATTCAATTCTTGGCTGTCGAGCCCCGCGATAAAATCAACTTCGATTTTTTGTACGGTACGCCCTGGCACCGTAGAAGCAGCAACTACTTTTGCTTCCTCGAGAGGGGGGCTCGTTTCTTTCTCGACACGTGTACCTTAATTGTTGCAGTAATTTGGCCTTCAGGTAATACAAATGTACAAAAAGCGAAATAGCGGAAATAAATCGTAATATATTCCGAATTAGACGTCAGCCGATGAGGGACTTCGCATGAGTGGTGTGGGGGAGATTTGGGGTACTGTAAAGAGCATTTCTGTTGTTGGTACATGTTTGATGTCAATCGCCTTCTTCTTTGTTTGGCGGGCAAGGTAATGGTGGCGCAGGTCTATGAACTTTCTGCGCTTCGTTGGGCCGTTGTTCTTGGCAACCCTTACTGCTGATTGGTTGTCAATTCGGAACGGCATGGGCTCCAGTGGGAGCATGTCGATGTCTTGAAGGAGACGTCGAATCCATGCGGTTTGCTGGGCAGCTGCAGTGGCAGCTATGTATTCAGCTTGACATGTGGATAATTCTGTTATCGCTTGTTTCATCGAGCCCCAGCATATGGGCGTGCTATTGTACAGATGTACCATTACAGATATGGATTTGCGGTTGGTTACATCTGTTGCGAAGTCAGCATCACTGTAGGTCTCCAGGAGGTTGGGGATTTTTTTGGATGCTTGCTCTGTGGTTGCCTGCTTCGTACAGCAGGCCATGTGTCGGCGTGTGTTTGAGGTACCGAATTATGCGCTTTAACGCGATCCAATGCCTCTTTGTCGGTGATTTGGCTGGCACCGATAATCTGTTCGCGACGGGGTAGATGTCCGGTCTGGTGGAGTCCGCGATGTAGCGGATATCCCCGAGAAGTCGCTGGTAGATTTTTGTGATTTTGGGCATTGGTTCGTCTTCCTCTGTTGGTCCATGGAGTGTCGTTTTAGTGTTGTACGGGGTTGGTTCCGTTCAAAATGTCCATTTCCGCCTTTTTGACCACATGTTGTATGGCGTTGGGTTGGGATGCGTGTATATCTCCGTTGGCAAATTTTTTATCGTCCATCCTAGGAGGGGCACGGGTTCCCCAAGCTGTTTGATCTTGATCGTCGTCTTGAGTATTGCTGCAAATGTTTTCTGCAGTTGTTTGGACGTACTGATGACTGTGAAGTCATCCATACTCACCGACAAGATGATGATGTGGTTCTGTGTGCGTCGGTGGAAGAGGCACATGTCCGCGTCTGATTGGGTGAACTTGTGTTTTTGGAGTAGATTGACTACTGCGCTGAGGTACGTGTGGCCGGCGCCGGGTGTGCCATATATATATTTGTTGAGTTTGCCGACTGAGTCGGGGTGCTTGTAAGATCCGTCAAATCTCGGGTGTTTCCGGGCATATACGGGCTCACTGCCTGAGTGGTCAAACTTCTCATGTAGGTATGCAGCCTTTATATCAATGTGCTCGATGTGCATGTGGAACGTGGCTGCAACCGCGAATAGGAGGCGTACCGTGGTTTTGTCTGCCATATATGTTGTGGTTTTTCTGGGTCAAAGTGTACGCGTGGTATCATCTTGTCCCCTCTGGCAGAACATCGTGCTTTTCGCTCCACAATTATCCCTTGTTCGTTTCTTTTATATCGATACCCCATCGTGAGTGGGATGGGTTTCGTGTTTTTGGGGGTTTTCTGTGCGGGCGTCCATGTTACAACCTCATTGTTGTCAAGGTTGTCAAGTTCCTTTTTGTGGGCTTCTTCCCACATTCATGCGTCCGGGTAATTTTTCGCCTGACCAGGGTGCATCGGTGCTGGTGATGTGGCGTTGATTTGTTTGGGAGTGGGCTTTGGGGTTAAAAGCTTTGAATAGGACGTTGACTTTGTAATTTTGGTCCATTTCTTTGTAGTACGGCCTAAAGTCCACGGATCGTATGCGCCGGGTTTTCCCATCCCACATGTTGAGTACCATGACATGCGTTGGGTCTGTTGCGTACAGATACCGCACAGTGAGCGCTCGGGGGTGCGGCTTTTTCACTTGAGTCTTGCTGGTTATGTGTGGAGCGTGTCCCAGTTGTCCAAATATGAGGTATTGCGTGACTTTGGGTTTATGGCCGTACCATTCTGTGGTGGGGATTTGCCCGGTGCCCAAGTGCAGTGTGTGGTTGTATTTAAAGACTACATCTCTTATTGCGTCTTCCCAATGGTGACTTGGGAGTCGGCTATGGTGGAGGGATGCCCGTGCTGCGTTCATAATGGTTCTGTTGACTCTTTCCGCAATTCCATTTTCTTGGGGTGTGTGGGGGACTGTAGTGCTATGGTGTATGCCGTGTGTGTTGTACATTGCCTTTGTTGTGTGCGAGAGGTACTCCTTCGCATTGTCCGTGTGCAGTATGCGTGGCTTGTGATACTGCCCCGTGCGTTGGCACATTGTGGAAATGATCTGCGGCTTGATCTCTGGTCTTTAGGAAGGTGATTATGAGATAGCTTGATTGTGTGTCGATCACGATCATGAAGTATTTGTTTCCTTGTCTAGATGCCGTGGAGAAGGGGCCACAAATGTCACTGCTGAATGCCTCTCCTGTTCTGTAGCCGTGGGTGGTGCGGCTGTGCTTGGCGGGGGGCAGTTTGGCTGCTACACAGCTAGTACATGTTATTTTTGGCGGGGGTTGGGAGAGGGATTTGGGCAGGTATGTGATCATTTTTCTTTTCGCCATTTGCTGGATAGTGGAGGGTCGGATGTGGTTGAACACCATATGCCAATGGTGGTAGTCGTGCTGTGCTTTGGGATTGCGTTTTTGTGGTGGAGTTGGTGCGGGGTTGTGCTGCATTTGCATTGGGATTGCGCTTTTATTTGTTTTCGTTGTGCGCTTTCTCAGTGAGGCCACTGGTGTTGTTCGTTTTCGCGATGTTGGTCTGCGTTTCTGCTTGGTTAGTGCTCTCGTGTGTTGGAGCGCTCGGGCTGCTGCTGCCTGCGGTGGAGGCGCTGCCACGTTGAGGTTGTAGAGGCCCTTGCTGAGTTGGCACTGCCAACAATGCGTGGTGGTTGTTTTTTGTGTTGAGCACGTAGGCGCTGTTGGGGTAGAAGATAACAGCTCCCCACTGTTTGGCGATGTCATGTACGGATAAGAGTTTTTTTCGTACATGGGGGTTGACGAGGGCCGGCTTAAGCCAGTTGCGATTGGTCATCGGGATCTGAAGTATGCCCTGGTGAGTTGCAGGGGGAGTGATGGACGTTGCGGTGTTAGTTCGCACTGTACGTGTTAGGCGGCGCATGCCTTTCGTGGGGTGCTTGATGTGTGTTGGGTTTGCACCTGAGTCAAGTGTGAATGTCCTACCTTCGACTTGGTGGTAGTGCGCGTCCTCTTGCTCACAGTCCCTGTGGTTGTCATCATCCATGTCGTGTGTGAAGAATGCTGCGTTTCCTTTTGCAGCTTTTGGGGCTGGCCTCGGTTTGCCTCTCACATCTTCTTGTGTGGGTGTGCGAGGGTTGCTCTCCATGTCGGG